TGTATACGAAGGCACTGCAGAAAACAAAATAAGTAGCTCCAAAAGATGGCATTTCCTTCCATCCCAGGATTTTCACAAGTTGGAGAGAGACGAGGGGAATGCCAAAATTCCTTTCTCCTGCTATTTCTTTTCCTATAGATGCTGCTATAACAACAACATCCAACAGCTTTTGTGCCAACTGTACAACCATTTTAGAGGTACTGAGCTTTTTTTTTTCCTCCTATGGGAGGGGCTTATTGAGGAGCTTATCGTTACCTCTCCTTTGACTTTTTTTTTCTTTCTGGGAGTAAGAAGAAGTAAATGATGTAAGACCAAAGACACTGTAATAATGTCCCCACCCAGAAGGCCATCTATTCAGGGGGTGTAAATCACTATCCCTCTGGAGACATGAATGAAAATCTGAAGATTTACAGCAACCATGACCTGGCTCCAAAGCATTCCTACAAATAATCCTTAAAAACAAACAAACCACAACAATAAAAAAAAAAAACCAATCCCAAAAATACTGCTGCAGGCTGCAGTGAACCATCCCTTTCCCAGGCTACTGCTACCAAACCAAGCTCTGGCATACTTTGATTTTGTTCAGTGTGTAAGTTCCCAGTACTTGTATATATTGATCCTCTGCTATTTTTACTCACCAGCCAGCATATGCAGCAAAGCAGGTGTATACGTATATATACGCGTGTGTGTATACACGCGTACACATTCTTCCCAGACTTGTTCACATAAAACCAGCAAAAGAATGGATTTGACCTACTCTTAGTAACAGTGCCAACACCTTATTTTTGTTTAATATTAATATATTAGCTGTTTTGCTTTTGTTATTGAATCATGCCAATGTAATTATCAACCTTATCACATGAATGCATCTCACTTCCATAAATTCACTCCTCCAATAAGTAGTATTTCAAGAGCTGTAATTAATACAGCACAAGAGAACGAAAAACTGGCGACACTAGTGGAAGTGCCTCTTTTTGTGTCAGAAAGTCTTGTAGGATGACACGGGCAAGTCAGGCCAGAAAAATTTTCCTTTGCTGTAGTCCTAACACTGCATTCCCACCATTTCAGTGGGAAAGTCCATGACTTACTTCCAATTCAAAAAGGCGATGAAAAGACCAAGAGAAAGCATCTGCTATGAATAGGAATAATTTTCTTTAAAGAATCAGACTTATGATGGAAGAGAAAAAAATTTTTCAGGAATCCAGGTTAAATAACGACCAAGTGTGTTTCATTCCATACTCATAAAATCACTTTACAGTCACATTTCTACCCTGTAAGCTTCAAGATTCTGTCTGTAGCTCACATCCCACCATCTATTATAGAAAAAATGTGCAAGAAACCATTTAGAGATAATATATATTTCTTTTTTTGTCTTCCAAGTCTTTCATACTGTCTCCTACCAAATGAGCCTTCCATTTTCACATGACTTGTTCACCTCTAGGGGGATGAAGGAAGTTTAATCCTTATAATCCATTCACTCCTCTGCTTCAGCAACTAGTGAAAGTGCCACTGGTAGCACTTAACGGGTACATTGATGATTAGATTGAGTCCATCACTTAATTTTCTATTGACCACTGAATGGGAAGTTACTTCCTTAAAACAAATTCTTTCTCTTTGAATAACCTGCGACAGTTGTGGACTGAAAAATAAAATTAAAATGGATGGCTGAGCACTGATTGCTTAACTCCCTGCTTTGTGGAGACTTCCCAAATAGCAAAAATGCCAAGTAAAACCTAAAATGTCTGCCTAGAGTATCATAGCCTTGCTGAAAAGCAATGTTCTTTAATTTTAAGGTTCTTCTGTTAATTCTTCAGTGCTGCACTTAGTGCTGCATGTAAAAACTATACAGTCTAAAAGGCAGAAAAAAAGATACAAGGCCTCGGGTAACATCCCAAGGGAGCTGATTATACATACATTTCAGAATGCAATATCGTCTTGCCCTAGATGACTTTCAGTTTTTCATTTAAATACTTTCCTAAAAATTGTTCCATGAAGGCTTCTACAAATAGCCCATCCAGGGACAAGAAGTCAGGCAGCGCTGTGTGAGTACACCTTCAACCACGGTGTCCAAACCATACAGTTTGTCTACACCCAACGTTAAAGCCAGTGAGGTAAAGAACACCGCTTCTCTTCTGCTGGCATAATTCAGTGTGCAGGTGACAAGCAGTTGATAGCAAATATAACCAAACTGCTCTGCTTCTAGCAAGGAGTCCCAAGAAAAGAACTTGACTAATGGAAAAGGAAATTAAGATGACAAAAATCAGCAGCAGTTTCAAAACGGGCCCACTGTAAGTGTACATATCCATCTCAGAATCCATTTTACCAATCCATAAGAATGCAGAATTAAGGGAGGGGATATCCAGGATTCCCAAGTCAAATTCCCCACTACTACACAGAACCAAACGTTGATGTTCTTTTCTGGATTTATTAAACTTCATTCTAAAAGAAATTTAAACTTGTTTCTCATTTGAAACCACTCCAGGATATCGGTCGTCTGATAATTAGAACTCTTCCTGTAACTTCCAGCAAACTGTGCTCATTATCCCCTTTATACGCATTTGTTTTGCTTGTTTACTCTAATCTTGAGCTCACATAATTATTTTCCTCCCCTACATAAAAACTGTGTAATTGTCACGTTTGTGTCTTTCTGTTAAGTCTCTCTATTCCTCTTAACATCCATGTGGTCCTTTTCTGCATCTGTTCCATCCATCTGTTTGAATCCATTTATCTGAATGTGGATGACAGTTGGGCTCCAGATAAGGTCTCACTAATGCTATATACTTTGACATCAATATTTTCTATACATACAGGAAATCCCTCCCCTAATACTTTTCTAGGACACCATCTTTTTTTTATTTTCTCAGCCACATCACATAGCAGTACACTATCATTCTGCTGCCGACTACTACACCGACTACCAATTCACCACAAAAGCGATGAGCTCTTCTAGAATAAATTGTGATAAGCTTCTATTTGCATCACCAAATCTCATCTAATTCTATTAATCTCAGGTTTGATTCATCTTGTTGGTACACGGATATTCCAATCCTCCTCTCTATCAATACAGTCCAGCAGTTTTGTGTCGCAAAATTTCATCACCGCAGTTCAACTTTTTCACTAGCGTCACTAAGGAAAAAAATTAAATAATTTCCAACACAGTCTTTGAAAAATCCAGTTCACAGCCTCCTTTCCATCAGTACATTCTCTCACCACCTATTATCTGTCAGTGTATTCCCAAGTCACCTTACAATGTAATTAATCCAAATTTTCTCCATTTTACATTATTTCCTCACACAGTACAACTATCAAATACTTTCCTGACAATGAAACATATTAGATCTACTGTATTTCCCCCCATCTACAAAATCCCAGCATAAGGTAACAAGTTCACCTGGCACAGTCTGTTTTTGCTAAAACTATGTTGCATTTCATCCCACCTTTCACTTTTCTCTGTCTCTTTTATTTTGCCCTTCCAAAAACTGTTCTACAGCTAAGTCACACTACGGCCATCAGATTAGATCATCTGTATTACAACTCTTGTCTTTCCGTTGGGCACCCTCAACTATTTGGCCCTGTTTACATGTAGCTTTCACTGCTTATCTAGTATTTACAGTTAGAGTGTACATCTTTGGAAGGGGGATATATTGTATTTATTGTGCTAATGCACTTCCATTACCACTGAAATAAGAACACAGAATCCAGTAAAATTAGTTTCCTGTTGTGGAACTGGAAAAGCAATGGTTCTTTTCAGATGGGAATAGAGCGGGCCACACCCTAGTAAGTTTAAAACAGGTTATAATACATTATTCGCATTTTCCTCATCTTGAACCCTTATATTTTATTTTGTTCTGGACTTGCTGATTTTGTATCTCAAGCCATGCTCAACAGCCTAACTCTGCAAGCCCAAACCACCAGGAGTTATAAAGCAGGCACTTAGACACTTATGCCTTTTTTATGTCTACCCAACAATTTCTTTTACAAGCAGAACAACTTTTTTTCCTCCACTAGAATAATACTTTCCCTAAAAAAAAAGTAATTTCTTTCCTATCTTTCTTCCAAGAATTACACCCATCTGCGTATACTTTATGGACTGTATTTCAGGTGACGATCATTGGCAAAATCTGGTGTGCTTTCTGACACAAATACAAAAATGTTTGCAGAGCTCCTCACACACCCCCTCTCAGAACCGAACTGTAATGTGCAATAGAAAATGAACCTATTACAGGACATTGCCCTTTTTTGTTTGATCTCAACAGTGTTATTTTCTTTGCACATCTTCATTTATTAGTTAACAAATAAATGATGGTGTTTTCTGCATTTCAAGAGGATTACTATTACCAATAAAAAGAAACTACCTAACAAGAATCTTTTCCGTTCTGTTCCCGTGAGAAGTTTAAGCATGCTCAGCCCCAAGTTCAGCTAACTGCTGACGCACGGCACCACTGCCTTTCAAGGTTTGCCTTCAAAAAGTAAGGAGAAAAAAAAAACAAACCACACAACAAGTGAGATTTACCAGATTCAGACCGATTTATTTCGCATACTATTATTTGTCATTCCTTTCATACACAAAGTAAGATGCCTCCAGCTAATTAACAAATTCCTTCAGAACATCAGAACGTTTAACAGGAAGCTGGTTTTGCACTTTGGGCCCGCTCTCAGCGCAAACTAGATTAACATGCAGTATTTTTCCTACTTTTTCTTCCCTCCCTGCTTCGCCCTCAGCAAAAACACCTCGCTAGCAGGCAGACCCCCGAGTCCCGTTCGCTTCCCTGCGTTTGTCCCCCGGTAACTTCAACACGCTTCAGCACCTCCACGCCTCTTAATTCTTCCCTTCCGCGTGAAAACAAAACAAAACAAAACAAAACCCAAGACAAGAGAAGTCGCAGATAAAAACCGAGAGGCGCACACCCCCCGCCCCACCACCACCTGCCAGCGTTTGCCACCCGAGCGATCAGACTCCCGGCGGAGGCCGCAGCTCTTCGTCCGGCCGCAGAGCTCACCAGAAAATGGAAGCCAAACCCCGGCCCCCCCGCCCCTGGGAGCCGGGGAGCCCACGGGCCGGGCAAGAGGCCCCGAGCGGCAAGCCGGCCGCCTCGTCGTTCTTTAAGAAAAAAAAAAAAAAAAACCCCAAACTCCGGTGTGGCAGGGAGACAGAGGCAGGCCCCGCCGGCGCTGATCCTCACGGAACGGGGGATAAAGCCAACGCCGAGCTCGGCCACGGGCCGCCCCAGCGCGGCGGGCTGAGGGCAGGCGGC